ACCCATTCACTTTAAACGACAAGCTGAAATAAAATAAATCCAATAATGCATACAGATACGGTGGCATAACTCTTCGCTAAATTACCATATGAAGTAAGTTTGTTAGCAACAAATCCGTGATAAGTAAGACATGTCCACAAGTTACTCAAAATACTACAAAATCACATAATTACATCAAAATCCCCTACTCATGAGCACATCGATGTGTTATATGCCGCGGTTCGTCGTGCTTACAGGCTACATGTAAATAAAGAACACCGTTGTTATAAACCGTATGTGCAGCGCTGTTTGAAGTACTTAAATGTGGCAGTGCACAATGCGAAAGGTGAGGGAGGCCAATCTGTTCCGCAACACCATTTTGATTGGGCACTGTAAGTGATGGTCAGACATTGCCTGAGCCGAATGTTTGGACGAGTTGCTTGAAAGTTGTGCCTTCAACAAGGAACTCTGCCGTACACTGGTCTGCGCTGAACCACCACACGCTGTACACCTGATTCATTTGATTCCCAAGGTTTGACATCGATGAGTGATGGGCAACGTCCAATTCTTCATGCATCCGCATTCCTGCCATATGTGAGTCTGTTCAACCAACATTAAGACATAGCTTCAAGGTACAGGGTAGACAAGGTGTAAACTATCTGGGACATTGGCCCAACTGACATAATGGCTGTAACATATTTGCCGCGGCTGCCTTCTGTGATCCTGACGCCGCCATCGATTCAGTTTAATACATGCATCTGTGTCATTAGTTACAGCTCCATAGTAGTTGCAGTGACCCCCACACTCCTGCTTTCGGCAAGTCAGGGTGAATAATTGCGACCTGATTCACTTCATCTGAGCCCATTCATATCGCTATAGAATGGGCTTTGGACGCATCTAGCTAGGTGGTTTCGGCCCTTACTGAACAATTAAGGAGTTTATAGATGGGCTAAACAGCTCGATACATCTCAAAGCTCCTTCTGTCATTGCCCTATGTCTACTTACTCGAAAAGTGTTTTACTTTAATCCATCTCTCACAGTTTCGAAGTAAAACATGCAGTTGTAGCAAGCAGCGCTTCCTAAAAACAACTAACTATTGCACGCATCCAATTTTCTATGCGGGTGGATCACGGGGCAGCGGCTGCTCCCTCAATAATTGGCCGTGTGCCACTCGATATCACTGGCGCGAACACATCTACCAACCAAGGGGGGGGTGGGGTGGGTGGAAGGGGAGGGGGGGGAGAGGGGGGGTGCGGGTGGGGGGGTTCCGAAAGGATGGGGTGTGCGGCGGGTTGGGGGGGTGGTTCGGCGGGCATGCGGACGAGGCGGTACGGGGCGGTGACGTATCCGTCCGGTGTCATGCGGGTCGAGGGAGGTAGGTGTGGGGCGAAGGTGATGTTTCTGGTTGCTTGTGTTGGCGGTCACGAGCGGGAGGCGTGATGCAAGGCTCGTTGGGTATGTTTGGGCGGCGGTGTCCGGTCTGTAAATGAGGGTGTTTGGTTGTGGGGGATGGGGGGCAGGATGGTCGTTAGGGCGGTTGCGCGGATGTGGTGTGGTTAGCGGGATTGTTGCGGTTGAGGCGGGGGGAGCCTCGAGTCGAGGCTGAGAGGGCGTGCGCGGGTAGGCGGGCGGGGCGGGGTAGGGTGGGGAGAGGTGGGGTGGCCGTGTGTGAGTGGCGTTGCAGGGGTGTTTGTTCGGCGGACAGGAGATGCTGTGACTAGGAATGAATGAGTGTGTGAGATAACGGGGGATTGGTTGTTGCGTGCGGGGGGTGAGATAAAGGAGCAGAGGACGGACTCGGTCTCCGGTGTGAGCGTTTAGTTTGGGGGGGCTGGACGATTTTCGGAGGGGATCGTGTGGGCTGGGGGGGAACGGGTGGGGGGGCCTGTGAATCCGAGGAGGGATTTGGCCGCAGCTCGACGAATCGCCGGCGCGCGTTGAATGAATGTATAGTGGTAGGTGAGGCGGCGGGAAGGGTGATGGCTACCTTGGGGGGGAGGCGGGGGCTTCTAGGACAGGAGGTGCGGCGAATAAGATCGGCGCGGGGAGGTTGTGTGAGACGACGGGTTGGAATAGCGGCTCCGAGGGGGAGGCGGAGAGTGCAAGAGGGGGCCGGGTGGTGGGTGGATGACGGCCGGAGACGGCGGGGAGGAGAGGAGTGCGGTTTGGTCTAACTTTCTCCGTACCTTGATTTCGTAGACCGCTTGCTTCTCGTCTTTCAGTCTTTTACACTAAAAATTTGTAAGAAAGATCTACGCCAGTATCTCTTCAACTCTATTATAACTGACAATAACATATCACTAAAGCCCTAAATATACCCCTCCACCAATTCTCATAAATATCCAATATTAAATCCAAACCAACAAATACTACTACAAAAATTCTATTCACTCATCCGCCATCTACAATAAAACTTCTCACTTTTTTCCTCATCTTTCTTTATAATTCCTACATGATCATACCCACTCCGTCTCCCATTCCCAACATCTTTTTCTTACTCTAAACCCACATAGCTTCCTTCCTATACCTTAACATACTCCCTAACGCCAACAGTTCGTGTGCCGACGATTATCGTCAAAGTTCTAAGACTATTGTTCGGCACCGCGTAGGCAAATGTGTGTGGAGATTATAATTTCATCTATCAATAGTTCGTGAGAGTCGTCTTACGTTCAGCCAGCGCGTCGCATCCTTACCTCCGCCATGGGGAGGATAGTCTAAGATAGCGTGAGGTCTTTTGCAAAACAGGCTTAGAGGCTCTTTTCTGTGAGATATGTTAATTGGGGAAAATTCTTGTGTACAAATACAGAATACCACGGTTCTTTAATCTATGTGGTGGCGTAGTCCGGCGAGCCAATGGGTGATGCGCGTCGTCGTGGATCGCTCATTAGTTCATTTAGTTAGGAGGCGTTAATCGTTTGGAGTTGAGGATTCGTTAGGAACATACACGTTGGTAGATTCGTGATTGAATAACTAAGACGATGGTCCAAGGATGGAGCGCCCGGGATGGGTTGTGTAGTTCATATTATACGAGGTAGCTTATCTTATATGACTCCCATTAAATCATTCAAGAAATCGCTTTTCTAAATTGGTAAAGTGTCATACACGAACTTTATCCCGGCCGGAGGTTTTTGAGTGATTGAAAGAAAGTTCCATGTTGTTAGGAGGTGGGGTGACTTGTGCCGAAGATGTTCCGCATGTCGGTGGGTTAATAATGAGGATGTTAAGAATCCTTTATTACGGGCAGGGGATGTATGAAAACGTGAGCGAATCGATTGATTCGTGTTTTCTACTCGCTTATTTCGTTAAAGGTTTATAATCTAAATACTCGTTACTAGGTTGCTGTAGGAACACATGGGGGTTAATAGGACGACGAAAAAAAATTGTAGGAAACTCCTTCGTAGCACGAATGGGCACGTTAGTCTGATAACATCGTAAATTATCCTAAATAGTCCCAGCCGCCTGTTGGGAGTCTTAACTCTATTAGCGTTATGTGATGTCATTCCTAGATGGTAGAACTACAGTTTATGATAAAACCGGAGGTTATGTACGAGCTAAAGTATCGCAAAACTCTAATTCTGGATAATGATAAGCTATGGTAATCGTCGCGTATCGGGCAGAGAAGCATAGGAAATGATTTTTCGGAAATGGGCGTGGATAAGACTCGAAGAGTTGAGTGTTGAAAAGATCAAGTGGGTTGGTTCGACGTACCGTTTGGGTATTCGCCTTTCTGTCGATATGGCAGTGAATTTATCAGATTCGTTAGTGTTATTGGTGATACTGTTCTTTGAAGGGTTCAGTGCAATTGAACAAGGATCATACGTGACGAGCCTTTGCATGCAACTCAGCAAGGTAATCTCTCAAATGCTATTACCTGAGAGTTATGATCTGCGACTAATTATGAATAGGTTAGCTGGGTGAGTTTCATTTCAGATTATCGGTTGAGAGTTAAGTTTATCGCGAGGAATTGTGAAACTGGGGGCTGACGTGCTTATTGTCTTACTGTTAGATGAAACCACTCTTCGTGACGCGTTGCACGTTGTGAAATCAAATCGCCGTGGAATTCGGGCAATCGAGCTATTGTGTAGAGCAGTAAGTGGACATACCGGGATTTTCTCGACGAGTGTATTGCTTTACGGATGGTTGGACATCATCGCTCTAGAAGGTCTTGATGGATAGATGCTTGTGAAGATGTATTTAATGTCAGGTTCATGTGATATATCAAGTTGTATTTATATTTGGGGTTATTGAAGCTGGGGGCTTTCGGTGTTTGGTTGATTAGGTACGGTAGGTGAGAGAGTCGGTTGTGAAGCGATCTTAGGTGTGAGCGTGTCAGATGTGCGTACTAGCTAGGTGTCTAGAGCAAGCAGTAGGGTACCTGTCTGAATTGCGATGCTTAACTATTGCGTTCACTTTCAAACGCACGATATGAGATTAGAATTGGGGTCTTGCCATTGCATCTGCTTTACTGGCGTTTTTAGGATTCCTATAACTTTGTCAAGATGAACGGATCAGTTCCAGTTATGGACATGAAGATTGCTTACTCCGACTTTGACGGCTTAGTATCTATGTTTGTTAGGCGAATTGCTTGATACGGTTGAAAATTAATATTAGTGAGTACGTATAAAGATTGGACGCATTTAATGTATGACGCGGTAGACGAGCTTGTGGGGCTGTGAAGGTCTGTGACTAGGGTCGGTTAATGGGAGGGGATAGCGAGGATTTGATGGCGGGGCTGGGGGGGTGTGCGAGACACGAATGGCGCCGGGCTGGGGTGGGAGAGGGTAGTGGGGGTAGGGGCGGAGAGGGAGGCGGTGTGGGGCCGAGTGCGGAGGTCGAGGGCGGGGGGGGAGGAAGCCATTATGCGTCGGGGTGGGGAGGTTGGTTACCGCTTCTGGGGGGGACACGCAGGACGGTTGCGGGGTCCTGTACACGATGTATCACTGGTAGTTGGGCGGGGTGAGTTCGGTCGGTGGAGGATGGCGGACAGCGTCGGAGTACCATAGTGGGGTCTTAGGTGTTTGTTAAAGTGGAATACGGGTAGGTCGCGTGGAGGTGGGGGTTGATGCGGGGAGTAGGGGGCAGGTGAATGATGTGTGCTGCAGCGCGTCCGGATTGTGTGACGGTGCATCTGGGGGGCTGTGTTGGGTTGAGTTGATGAACTGGACGAGGTTGAGGATTTTCTGTTGGTGATACGTAGTTGAGTTTGCAGGGGGCGAGAAAGGGCGATGTAGAGGGGAGTAGGCGGCGGATGGGAGTGGTGGGGGGGGACTGGGCGGGGCCGCGCTGGGGATCGGTGTGAGGGTGGTCGGTGAAGCGGTGGGTCTTGGAGCGAGTAGGTTAGCCACGGGTGTCTGCGAGAACGAGCCTGACTGGAGAGGAATGAGATCCTGGCTGGGTGGGCGGATGAGGAGAAGAAAGCGTGCGATGAGGGAGAGGTGGAATGGTTTGTGTCATTTGGGAAAAATTTTTTTGGCGATGTTGTGTCTGTTTATGTGTACATAGGGACGAGGGGGATTTGATTGTTTTCAATTTAGAAGGTTTAAGGAAGATGGGGGTGGTCGCGCTGAAAATGGTGATACTAGTTGGTCTGTTCATAAGAATCTGAGAGTTCGTTCAAGACGCCGAGCGGTCGAAGGGGTTGTTTACGGAACCTATAGTTGAAGGTTGTAAGGAAATTGTTGTATCGGTTAAGAGGGTGCTTGGGGTTTCGTTTGGCGAGAGTGGAGTTTAATGAATTAACACACACACACATCCGTGCTACAACCACAAAATATAGCACCACCATAGACAATTGATTTCGGAGATGGGGGGGTCTATAAGGAGTGGGTCTAGTATGATGATGTATGAAGATTGAGGTGTGTGGGTATGGTAGAGTTGGTATCTGCGTTTAGGATGGAGTTTGATGCATTGTAGGTATGATAGGAAGTGAAATTGGGAGAGTATATGTGGTTGAAGATTATATGACTACTTGCGAGGCATAGAAATGTAAGTTTGCTGAGGTTGTGTAGATTCAAGTAGGATTTAACTATTTGTTGGTCTGTCTTTTGCTGGTAAGTGCAATGGTATATGTTTAGATTTTAATACAGGGATTGCGTTATGAATATATCGGAATATTGGTTTGGGAATTATATGCGGATGATCGGTGGGTGACTTGGGATGTCTGAGCTCTAGGTAGTGATAGTGAGTCGAACTGAAAACCTATATTATAAAACGAAGAAGATAACGTTGTGATTATAATAATATTAACAAGGGTTACATCTCATTATTAATTATACAATTCATCTTAAATTTACATTATCAATAATTCCTTTAATCTCAAAATAGATCAAGTAATTAATTATTTTATTCTATTAATAGATATAATGAAAATATATATATTATCATTTTTATTCATAAGCTTATTTTATTATATTAATAATATATTTAAAAATAAAATTCTCTTTAATCTAATACCATAGATCACATAAATATTAAAATAATTTTTAATTTTATACTCTACACTATTATCATTTCTAATCCATCATATCTTAAATTCGCCCCCTTTAATCATATTTTCCTCTATTAAAAAACCACCCAATAATCATTCTCATTAATCTTACACTATTTAATTCATTTTTGTATATACTAATTATATTATTTTTCAATATCCGAGCATTATTAGTATTATAAACATCTCTCCCCCCTTATCAAATTTAATTTACTCTTAACTAATTTTTTATCCCCTCTCGCTAAAACCCTATTTTATTACTTAAAACTACTAATTATTTTTATTTTTTTTGTCCTTTTTTATTCTTCTTCATTTATGTGAAACTCTAACTTTCTATTATTAGAGAATTAATTGTTTATACTTCAAATCCCGAGTTTTATTCCTTGGTTAGTGCCGTCGGAAAGGAAAAGGCAGTTCCTTCTACCTATAATCTTCTTATCGTCCCAATCCATTCCGCTGTATATCTTCAATGTGATTTCAGCATATTGTGAAACGTGGCTTTCACTACCGGTTTCGGGTGTCCACTATCCAGGAATTATCTTACTGTCTATTTCCTTCTCTGTGCACATGGCCTTATCTGTGAAACACAGAGATCGGAATTGTAGTACTGTGTCCCATCTGTGTCCGTCAGTTGACGAAATATCGGTTCGGAAACTAATCATTCTTGCAAACTGAGCAGTCAAGGAATGGCGATGTGCTACTCTATGGTGGGCGATTTCCGATTCCTCACAAACTAGCTTTTCTTATCCACTTTTGTGTTTAAAATGTGCCATCCACTTGACACCAACAACTTTTGGCCATTTACTGGAGTTTGCCAGTACTATGTACAACATAGTGGACATTGGCGATCTAATGATACCATCATGTTCTCCAGTGCCTACTTCCAACTGAAACCCGAGCTAGAACGACATACCGCGCAACGTCACTGTCGGTTGTCTCAACCAACTTAATTTTCGGTCACTCCTTAGGTTAATCTCTTCAGTCAAACGGTGTTTCACCCTACCCAGTGCAATCGATACTGTCTCATTGTAGAGTAAATTTCATGTCTGGTCGTCTGCGCGTAACAGTGAGCACGCGGATGGCCGCCCACTTCTGCGTTGTGTGTCTTGATGCCGCGTAAGTGAGTGGGTGGAAGTTACAGTACTTCATCAACCGTCCATAGATGCCGCGTGCTAGTCCGCACCCATCCTACAGTGAATGAGCTCACGAGTTGTTTTCGCGTCCACTGCATCACGTGATTTGTTGCCTGAACGCTGCACCAACCGATGCAGACGTTCTGAGTACACTTGTACTGATTTGCAATTGGTCAAGACGATGGATTCAGCTTGATGTGGTTACGAATTGGGTTGAATATTCTTAAGGAGGAGCTTGATTCCGTTAAGGACTGGCTTGCTTCCGAAATGGTATAGAGTTACCCAAAAACAACTAACCATTGAAGCATACATTGGTCTATGATGTTATGTCGGTTCTGATGGATAACTCACAGGGTGTTAGCTGCTCCCTCAGGAATTGGCCGTTTGCTATCCCGATTCCATTGTCACGAATACATCTACCAGCCTAGGGAAGTTCGCATTTCGAATCCGTGTTGCGAATGTTGGGCCACTCCCCATAGCTATGGGCAACGTGAACTTAATGGAGTGAGTGCATCGTTTCCCTTTTCTTGGACTTCATCCATCCAGGATGCATTGTGATAAGAGCATGGTATAGGGAAGAACTAGTTTGTCAAAGCTGTCCGGAATGCCCATTTGGGGCGGTATCCGGATCCTCCTTGGGCTGGGCAAGAGGCCAAGTAGCTCGTTTCAGTGGTCAAGCGACTTACGTTGTTTGTCTTATTTGGGGGTGCCTCTTGCTTCTGCCTTCAGTTCGCCACCACACTGGGTATTGATTTGATGTTCCCACGAATCAACAATTTAACTTCACTTTACTTTTAGCTAGATCCTCGTGTTTTTAGTGCGCCATTGTATTGCCTGCTCACTTGCATAGCAAATGAACCACAGCGGATCGCTGCATGCGAATCCCCAGATCCCTGCGATCAAACATGGTGTTTGAAGGATATTCGACACAAGCTCGAATTCCGCCAGACATATCAGAACGATTTTTAACTGTGGTGGTCATTGGGCCTGTTGAACGATTGAGAAGTCTCCACTTTATGTAAAGCCGTAAAGACAGCATCGACCGGGGTTTATCTTAAACTAAGCCGAAGTCCGACGAGCTTGGGCTTCTCAGTCGACGCACACCACGTGTGTTCTGAAGAACTCGACGCTGGATCCCTAATCCTCAAGATAGGCGTTGATCCCACTGGGCCCAGTGGAGAACGCACTTAGCGGTAGTCGCTGCTTTTCCGGTTCCGGACATATTTATGCCATCCTTGGGCGAGGATTTCAGCCGAGGACAAATCTGCTTATGAAGCGCAGTATCGAGCGTGCGAAAAACCTAAGATTCAGCTGACTCAGACATAACCCAAGTAACCGAACTGACAAGATTGACTTCAAAGTAAATAGCTGCAGAAATATGGATCACGTGTCGCAGTCATTACACACACACAAGGAAAATTCCATTTTACCTATTATAGAAATAGTACTTGCATAGCGCAGGATCCAGCCACCCTCAACAGCTTCGTTTACCACATCTTCGAGACTTATCGTTGTCGGAGGTATCACCATCGCAAACTAGACGTTAGTTGATACAACCTCGTCTGTGAGCGTTGAAGGTGTGGACGCCTGAATCCACTGAGTGAGTACTTTAAGGCAGCCGAAGTTCGATACCTCTATCAATATGGATACATTAGATGTGCGACTTATACCGCGTGGCGGCACTTTGTGTAAGCTAATAAATTCTGCACGGTTTAAAAGCTCTCAGTGCCCGTTTGCTATCAACTGCTAGACGCATTATCACAGAGTTGAAGTGATTGTAGTACGTTTTACCCACGCAGACTGTGGTTGTGTTGTCAACCTGTGTATTGGGAGCTCCCCCCTTCCCTCATATTCACCTCGTCATGCAAGTTCGCAGATGGATTGCCTCCTTTGCCGTTTTTCCGCACATACCTGGTCACTACTCAGAAGAATAGATGGGTCAGGAGGGGGATTCCCACTTATCTCTCCAGTCGTTTGATGCCATGTACAGTGTCGTGCATTGTCAGGAATACAACCGGGCTCACGAAGACAAAATCCGGTAGATTAGCAACTGTTTTGGCTTTCCTCACAGGTATCCACCTTCCTGACCGGTGTGTGTTCTGTAAGTTTTTTTGTACCACGGTATTCACATACGTACAAACAAGATAACATGACGACAATCTGCACAAGGCATTGCTAGTTTGACAAGTCGGACCAGGCAACCTTCACTTGCTAAAGGTGTAAGGCCGGCCGCACCCACCTGTCAAGCTATCATCAGACATCTGTGTCGGCCAATTGAATAAGCAACCCTCCTCCTATTGGAACTGGCGCCGGATTTAGCTCCACCGTGGCATCTGAATGGAATCACCATTTGACATCAGACCGAATAAATTCTATATCTGACCCTTTTGACAGGAGATCGTACTTCGGTGTTGGCCGGAGCAATGGCAGCGACCCAATGAAGGAGTGTGAAAGGGGTGAGTGCCAGTATCGCGGGTAAAACCCTAGCACCAGCAATATGTCGGCAGTGCCTTCCCGCTACGATCCAGTTCGGTTGGAGCAGGTGGCATCCAACGGCAGTGTGCTACATCTGGATTGATCGTCAGAACAGAATAGAATGAGAGAGCCAGTCTGGTTGACAGCCAGCGTTTTGAATACTCGCACGCGCTAGTCGTGCTAAACTCATAGAATGTAAATTGCCATACCAGCTGCGTGGTTCATGCCCATAAACATTGAACCTGCTTTAGGTGAATTCTTGAAGGAGGATTGTGTGAATACGACAATTGGAGAGCCTGCTTCATACTGTGGGATGCGACGTCGTAGCCTCCACGTGACACCACACGGAAATAGCGAAGGTCTGATGTAGAGCACTTTGATCCGGAATCGTCCAGCTGCGAAAAACGAACTGGCGTCAACCTTATCTTTCATGCACGTGTTTCAAGCCAACATAAGAAGCAATCGCAATTAGCTTCCCACGTAGCTTGGATGGTGCATCTCGAACGAGTGCTGCATACTCGTTTTAAGCATGAACCAATTTCGAAATGTCACATCATCATGACGGAAGCGTGCTGGTGAGTGAATGACCGCAAGTAATCCAACTGGTCCCTGTACACTCTAACCACTTACATCAATTCAGTAGATGCAAGCACCATAGTGTCACACATGGTGTGGAATAGTGCAACCGAAGCAAGCCGATGGCCGCGTCTCATACACAAGGTCATTGGGTTGGGCAGTAGTATACTCATCTCGAGGTAGCTGAGTATCGTTTGCGTATGGCAGTAACCAGTACAACCCACTTACAGGGCTCCAGTGTGCGTACTGATTTGGGCGTATGAAGATGACGACTCCTTTTGCCGACAATGGAAAACTCTTTCAATGATTTCTGCTATGCTGCTGCGGTCACTTCCAGCGCTTTGATACGGCGTTGGCGATTATGAAACATGCCCGAGTGCTGTTTAGCACATTTCTGTCGAGAAGTTGACTTACCACTCACAGTGTTTAGAAGCGCAGGTTCAGTCGGTCTCGTGTTCTTCTAGACTGTGATAAACCAACCCCGATAAACCACTCCCGAGCTTCTGCAGGTTATCTACCCTAGATGGGCACATCGTGTGCTTACGGATCCAATGCATCGATGGATTCAATCAAATCGTAACAAAGTCCACTGAGCTAGCCACAGTTTTGCTGCAAACGTTGCATCACCACCCGAGTCAATATAATTAGTCCGCTATTGTGTGGCGGAGCGGGGAGATGCGAAACGTTTTGAATTTGCGTCGGGTAGTGGTGTGCGTGCTCCCTTCGTCTGGACGGACGAGACGCCAAACTGACGCTTCCCATGGCGCTGCTGCAGAGGCGTAGAAAGGACGAGGGGGAGGGGCGATCCACCCGAGGCGGCATGTGACAAGCGGTGGCATTTTTAGTACCGTTGATTTTTCGACATCAAATATAAACGGCAAACGTTTCAGATAAGCTCAGGGTTGAAAATTTCAATGTTAATCTGTGTTGATCAACAGTACCTATGCGCCATGTGTCCCTCCTGTGTTAACATTCTCTCCAGCGATCCGTGTACTTGTCCCATTGTGGTCCCTTCCACCACATTTATCACAGTGTCTCAAGCCATCATCCATTTTCCAGTAAAACCCAGTCAAAGCGTTATACATGAGCCTGGGGAGTGGTGTTGATGGACTTAGATACACACTGGCCGACCCACGGCTGCATTCCACCCCCGTTCGTGAAGGATTTCGTCGTACTCTCATGCTGCGATTTGAAGTCCGTAGCATAAACGAACTTGGTATATGGAAACGGATTACGTATGTTTTGGGTGCTCAAATGCAGCTTCTGTATTTGCTCTGATGAGATAGCCAGGCGCTTCTTCTCTTGCATCATAAGACCGATGCTCGAGTAGGGATCATCCTCCTATTGTTCGATCACTCGTGGCGAGGTGCAAAGACTGGAGCGTATACAGCAGGTGGTTACCAGGCTCATCCACATTGTACGGCAATGCAGACGACTAGGGCTGTATACCCTGTCGTATCATCGGTTTAGTGTTGACCTCACTATGACGCGTCGAATATTGCATTTCGGTCACTTCCCCATACTGAGGCCACAGCCTCACGTGCGCGCCAAGCAGCACTCGCGGGCACCGCTACATGCTAGCAGTACCGGACCTAAAAAGCTATATGCGTTGAGCGCCGAGTGGTGAAATACGTGCGTTGAATAAAAAGTTTTGAACCTCAAAGAAACCAAATGAGAGACGGAGTCTTCGATGTGATTATTTTTCAGTATAATCACCCTCAAGCGCAACACACTTACTCCAGCGGTGCTGAAGCACCTTTATCCCAGTGGAACCGAACGCTTCAGATCCTGACTCCAAAAATGTTTCTACGGCTTCAATGACGTCACTGTCGTTGAGAAACGTTTGCCAGCTAAAGCTTTTTTCATGTTTGGACACAGGTTGAAGTCAGAAGGTGGGATCTGATGAACAAGATGAGTGCAGAAGAAGCCGGAAGCCGCAATCGTGGATTGTTTTCTGCGCAATGGAAGAGGTGTGGGATAGAGCATTATCGTTGTGGAAAATGACTCCTGTCGTCATCGTTCTGGGCCTCTTTACTCGAATTTTTTCTCTAAGACGTTTCAGAAGCGCAGAGTAATACTTTCCGGTAATGGTGTGGCCACTTTCAAGGAAATCAATCAGCAACACACCTCGGGAATCCCAAAAAGCGAATGCCATCACCTTGTCAGCTGACAGTGTGACGCAGGAAATGATGCACGCTTCCACTGCTTTGATTGTTCTTTTCTTTCTGGTTAAAAGTGATGAACCCAACACTCAACCATCGTTATGAATCGTGCAAGAAAAGCATCCGCTTCTGCCTCGAAAAGTGTCAAAATTTGCTTTGACATCACTAGTGGAATGCGCTTCTGCTCAGCAATCAGAAGACGTGGCACCCATCGAGCAGAAAGTTTTGAATGGCCTAATTCCTTCGTCAGAATATTAGCTGCTCGCTCCTGGGAGATGCTAAACCTCTCTACTACCTGACGAGTTGTTACTCGGCGATACTGCATGATCATGTCTATGAATAGGCCATGATTTTCTTTGAGGGTGGCGGTTGATGGTCTCGCTGACCTGGGCTCATCTTCAATACTTACCCTACCACGCTTAAACTTTGGCACCGAATGTTCAACTGTGGCATATGTAGGGGCATTGTCAAGCAATGTATTTAGCATATCTTAGTGGATTTCAGATGGTGATATTCCATTAAGATGGAAATATTTGATCAGTGCACGTTGCTACATTTTTTCATTTTTACCAAATTGCATACCTTGTTTAAGTTAAGAATCTGCTGAACTGAAAGTAAAAGAGGTAGAAATATGGATTTTTATAAAAGGAATATTTGGCGGGCGGACTTTAGTGCAATGCGAGCTAAGGCTTTAATTCTGAACTGTGAGATCTCGATGGCTGACTCTGACAGTTAGCCTGGGATAAATTCATGGCATGCCTTACAGAGG